ATATGAAAGAAAGCACATTTTGAAGGATGTCTCTAGTGCATATGAAGTAAAGCAATTATGAAGGATGCCTGTATATGAAAGAAAGCACATTTTGAAGGATGTCTGTAGAGCATATGAAGTAAAGCAATTTTCGAAGGATGCCTGTATATGAAAGAAAGCACATTTTGAAGGATGTCTGTAGTGCATATGAAGTAAAGCAATTCATGAAGGATGCCTGTATATGAAAGAAAGCACATTTTGAAGGATGTCTGTAGTGCATATGAAGTAAAGCAATTTATGAAGGATGACTGTATATGAAAGAATGCACATTTTGAAGGATGTCTGTAGTGCATATGAAGTAAAGCAATTTATGAAGGATGACTGTATATGAAACAGCAAATTATGAAGAATGCTTTTACATGCAGAAAAGAAAATCGTGAAAGTATGCCTGTATGTGAAACAAAGAAAAGTATTTAATTCTTAAGAATAACTAAAAGAAACAAGCTAAAACACATTAAATACCACATTTCCCACACGTTACACGTTACTGTTTAAGCCCAGTTGATATTCAACACTTAGAATGTTGATTTTCGAAGCAAGTTGAAAGTTTGAATGCAACATGAATTTGTTATTATCAATTTTTTCAAATGGTGAAAATACTGTACTAAGCTATACTTTGTGGTCTTCTCATGGCTGAGAATTTTCACTTGTCTTAGAAGTCCGCTTTCAAGTTCGGATAATTCCAGCATTTCAAATGCTGATTCTTTAGGAAGGTAAACCCTGTTAATTTGAACGATTGCTGAAACATGATCATCCAACTTTTATTTTCAAATTTGTTTTATGCCATACTAAGCTAAGCTCAGTGTAAAAAAGGAAACATAACTAATACGTAAATTAGTGTTCTTGCATTACACAACCTGTGTGTATTTTAAGAATGTAAAAATGGCGGATTAAATATTAAGTAAGGTAAATACGAATTTGAATAGTAAATGGAATAATCATTATTGAATTAATAGTTGGGAACTTTAAACTTTATTGTAAAGGATTTGTAATTCAAGATTACATATAATTTTTCGAAGATTTGATTTCAAGGGAAAATGGAATTAATGTCAAGCGGAGATTACACGAATTAACAGAAAAAAGTTTTACATTAATTTTCGGAAAAAGAAGGGAAGAAAAAGTCTCTTTCTTCTTCATTGCTGGAATCTGATCTTTCCTTTTCTTGTGGCAGCATTAATAAGCGTAAAAGAATCAGAAGTTGTTCAAATTTTCAACGGTCTTTTCATTTATCTTGCGTGAGGTTGACTAAAAGTGCTTCAGCGTCTCTGATTGCTTGGAGTTGTTCACATTGTCTGTCTCTCTCGGCTCTACAAGATAGTGTGAGCCATCAATGTAATGAACAGACAAATAGATGCCAGTGAAGTTTTGAGGGCAACCTCAGGCAATTCCGGAAGTTACCTTTAAAAATCCCTAAATCTGTCAGAATCCCGGCAGCTGATGCCTTGGCTACTGCCATAAGCCAAGCACTTAACTGGAACAGCTCGCTTGACTGGGATCACCTTTTCTCTTTTGCAACACTTGTGCTCGGCATTCCTTACAATAAGGACCCTACATCATCTGACACATCTATTATGAAAAATAACATTTCTTTATTCAATTCGTCTAAAATAAATGTCACCGAATTTTCTAAACTTTCTAATCCTAATAGATTTCATCCTTCATCTACAGTCGACGATTCTAAGAGACTCCGTGCCCTCGTCAATGCTAAGTTGATCGAGGGCGATGTCTCAGCTGCAGTTAGAATATTGGCCTCATCCGATACTATACTAGCTACTACACCAGAAGTTCTCACAGCTCTCCGTCGGAAACATCCTGCGCCACCATGAGATGTCAGATTTGTTTAGATGGAAAACTATGATTCAAATATTGAAATCTCAAAGGAAGCGATGGTTGTCGCTCTAGAAGTCCTTCTCGGGAAGCAGCAGTGGAGGTGTGGATGCCTTCGACCTGGTCACATCAAGGACTTAATTTCTGCCCACACTGCCGAAGCAGGTGAACTTTTGAAAAGATCCATAACAGCTCTTATTAATACCCTTCTCCGAGCTGAGATACCACAACATGCTCGCGACTTAATATTTTCACTTAAGAGCTTTAAAAAAAAATAGACGGAGTTATCCGCCCATTGCTGTTGGTAACATTTTTCGTCGACTTGCGGCAAAAATTGCTTGTAGAGTTGTTGTGAAGGAGATAGGGCATGAATTGCGACCTGTCCAGCTCGGGGTAGGCATACAGGGCGGATATGAAGCGGTTCATGCCACAATATCATTTTTTGAGAATATATCACCTGTTTCCCACCGTATCTTATTAAAATTGGATATGAAAAATGTTTTCAATAGCATCAGAAGCGATCATACCCTGGAAGTTTGCCATCAACGGACTCCTTCCATATTTAAACTGGTTCATCTTTCGTATAGTCATCCAACTATGTTGATCACCTCCGATAATATTATCTTCTGCTACTAGAACCCAGCAAGGTGATCCACTTGGTCCGCTACTATTTGCGATGGCTATTGACGGGGTAGCTCGTTCCATCACCTCTCCTTTCAATTTATGGTATCTTGACGATGCAACGCTGGAAGGATCTGTCGAGGCCGTAGCTGCTGACCTCCGACGAATTATTCCTGCTTTATCTCTGCTTGGACTTGAGATTAACTCGTCCATGTCAGAGATAATAAACTTGAATTATAGCGCAGATGGTTTCGAGAGTGTTATCCAGGATATCAGACTCATCCTTGAGGATATAAAAATAATACCTAAGGAGGAATTACACATTCTTGGTTCTCCAGTCTTTCCAATGACCATTCGGGAGTGTTTGAATACTAAGCTTGTCATTCTAAGCAGAATGACTGAGAAATTGCAGTTAACGAGTGTAGCATGTTCAATCCTCATCTGTACCTCATAGTTGCAGCCTTATGCAATATCTATACTAAGCTCTCTCTCTTTCTCCCTCTCTCTCTCTCTCTCTCACGCACGCGCACACACACAAATATATATACTTTTCTTTACAATTGGAATTAAGATACCTTTAGTTAATGACCATTTTCACCTACGAACTTTAATTTTAAAATTTGTAGGATTTTTCAAACTGTTTACAGTATCAGTTTGTAGATTCCACTACAAACTGATACCATAAACAGTTTTTCGCTACCGAGGTTCCTCTACACTCCCCAAAATGCCCCTTGCTACCTCAAACAGGATTTCTTAAATGAGATAGATATCACAATTAAGAGATGCGCGGATTTAATTTGCATTGTTAATTTCGACGACACAGGCTGGAGGCAGGCAAAACTCCCTTTGAGTTTCGGAGGCCTGGGCCTTCGATCAGCGGTAGATTTGGCCCTTCCAGCATATCTTTCTTCACTTTCTTCCAGTCGCGAATTAATTGATGAGATACTCGGTAGATCGTCTCAATGTTTCTCGGGTAGTTCTTTCGAACAAGCTTGCAGCGTCTGGGCCCAAGAATTACTTTCTATCCCACTAGACACATCAAAACGAAAAAGCTGGGATAAAATAAATTGCGAGGCCAATTCTACTAATTTGAGGCTCTCTCTGGATCAGCATCACCTCGCCTGTCTACTATCTGCTTCACAACCGAGTAGTGGAGCCTGGCTCAACGCAGTGCCCTCTTCATCTCCCGGTACCCTTCTAGATGATGAGTACACTCGGGTCGGAGTCGCGATCCGTCTTGGGCTCAAATTATGTGAGCGTCACTGATGCAGATGTGGAGGTTCCATTGATAAGTTTGGTTTGCCTCCTCTCTCCTGTCGTCGTAGTGCAGGCCGCTTTCCACGACATGCAGCAATAAACGACATCATCATCAGAAGTTTGGATACAGCTGGGTTCCCTTCCCAAATCGAAGCCGAGGGCATCGATCGTGATGATGGAAAACGGTCGGATGGCATTACCATTTTCTCTTTTAAAATATGGAAGTCGATGATTTGGGATGCGACATGTGCTGATATATTTTCGACCGGTAATTTGATCAGGTCCGCGGTTGAGCCGGGGTCCGTCGCCCGGGATGCAGAGATAAAAAATAGTTAAATATTCTTCTCTTTTTGATAGATTTTTTTTACTCCTGTGGCAGTGGAGACTTCTGGGGTTATTGGCCCTCGTTCGATGGCATTCCTTCGGAGGATTGACGCGATAGCGTCTCGATTAAGGGACGAGACTCATGAAACGGAGTGGCTCTTGCAGCGTGTCTCACTGGCGATGATTCGAGTTAATGCTTTCTCCATCATTGTGGCTGGCAGAGGATAGCAAGAAAACAAAAAAAAAACAAAAACATTTTTTTTATAGTTACTTTGTTCAAACTTTTTTCAGTAAATAATTGTGGCTATTAAAAAAATAAATCATTGTTATTAAATATGTAATGGCAAATCCAGGACAAAAACCCAGCAGACAAAATCCCAGCCTTTTATGCTAAAAGTGGACAAAATCACAGTCTCATAAATAGCGTGAAAATTCAAGGAACTTTTAATTCAAATTTTAATTTTTCAAACATTAATAATATCCAATATATATATACTACAAAAAATTATTTCAAAAGTTTGAAACTTCCAGCGTCTCTCGTTCATGCGCATGTGTAGTTATAACAACATCAACAAACAGTTCGATGAGGTTCTAATGGGATGAAACGTGTCACAAATACTTTTTTTTTCCAATTTGTCAAGTTTGTCAATACGTATATATGTACAAAAAAGTTATATTTCTATCGAGTATTTCACGAATTCAGGATTTTTTTGCTATAGAAATGGATTATAAATCGATCCAACCTCTAAAAAACGTTTTCTACACATTAAAATTTGATTTAAATTGTCTTTGAATTTTCAATTTATTTATGAGACAGGGATTTTATCCAATTATGGAATAAGAGGCTGGCATTTTGTTTGCTGTTCAGTTATCCGTAATGCCTACTATAGTATCATGATATTCATGTATCTAATCCTTTTTATTTGTTTTAGTTTAAACAAGAGATCAAGGATTTTGCCACAGAAGAGCAACTGAAGGATGACACTTACTGCAAAAGGTGGCTGATAGGTTTGTTTCGTTTCTGAATTCTATTCATATGAATTATAAACTTGGCTAATAATCATTTCTGGCCATTCTCATCTTGCTTTCCAAAAATGACAATTTTTATAACTTTTAATATTAAAATACGAAAAAGTTTATTCTTTATCTTTTATAGAAAGATTTTTGGTGATTAGAGAATTTCAGATTCATGCTGCTGTTTCTACAATTACTGCTCTGTTTTTGTTGAATATTCCAGTAAATTTTGTAAATTGAGTAAAATGAGATGAATGCAGTCAATTGCTTCATTTTGTCTTTCACTTAAATTTAATTTTTTCTTTTGTTTGACTTAGAGCAAGAATGTTAATGTTCTTTCAATTTTAATAGCTAAAAAAATCGTTATTTTCAAGATTAATATGGCTTCCTGGTATAAAAAAAATTATATCTTTGCTTTTCGTTGCTTACTGTCGTTTCTTATAAAGAAAAACAAAAGGAGGGAATGTAATTTTAAAGATAAAAAGCTTTTGTTCACTTAGAGTCGTTTGAAATGAATTGGATTGAGGTCCTTGGAAAGGTTGGAAGGGATTTTAAGGCATCGGTGAGGCTTTGATATAAGCAAGAGTGGTCAAATGAACATTCCCACATCTGTAGAGAAGGTTCTGGGTGGTCACCTAGTGCAGACACTTGCTAAGACCGACGTGTTGTAAGGGTAAAAGAATAGCATCCACAATACAGATCAAAGCAAATGTGGCCCAGGAGAGTCAACATCGACCGTTGGGAATTGTATCAGGACTAGAGGCACACTTTCTATTTATGCCACAAGACCGTCGAGTGTCAGAATATTGTTCAACCCGTTGTACTGATATTCCTGGAACAAGAAGTCAATGTGCTATTCCAGAAGGATAATGCCTGCCTACATAATGCTCGTACTACTCATTATGATCTGCAAGATGTTCAACAACTTCCCTGGATGACACGATCTCCAGACCTGTCCTCCATTGAAAAACATGAATGGGACGTTACCTGAATAATTCAGTAAGCACACAAACAACTCTTTCTCTGTTGTATCAAGAGGTAGGAATAATGTATTGCAAGGTGGTATTTGCTATCTATAGGATCGTATGTATATGAGAGTACAGGCCTGTGTTTACACCTATGTAGGATATACAGTGTATAGGGTCTGTATAGTGTTGATATACGCCTTATTTTGGAAATTGTGCTCGAATTGGTCTGAATATATGAATATATATTGTAATCCAGTTATTTTGCCAGTGCACTTAATCATGAGTAAATTGAAACACGTATTCATGACTTTGCCATTTTTTTCAACCACATGGTACGTAATTATACATTTAATCAATGAATGGATTTTTTAAAATCTGATATTACTTATTATCACTATAAACATTATATTTAGTGTTTCTGTAGATAGGCCTTTTTTTTCTTCTTTTATATTTTTTAACAATGAAATTTTGATTACCCAGGCCGGTAGATATTAATTTCACATTTTAGCCGAAATAAACGGGAATGTCTACTAAAGCACGTGTACCCACTAAATATAACGTTTATAATAATAATAATAATAATAATAATAATAATAATAATAATAACGGTGCTTCCTTATTGATATGGCAGTCCCTGCTGACTGCAATGTATCTTTGAAGATATTCAAAAAGTTGTCAAAATACAAGGACCTTGAAATAGAAATCTCGAAAATGTGTCATATGGGAACATCAAAAATCCCTGTTGTAGTTGGAGCCCTAGGACTGGTTGGAAAAGATTGCAGTAGACTAATTAAAGGGATTCCTGGAAGTCCATGCCTCAAGGAGATACAAAAAATTGTTCTGACAAGTACAGCCCACACTTTACGAAAGGCTTTATCTATGTAATTTTTTTTTTTTTTTTTTTTTTGTCAGTGGAAAGTGTCATGACGCCATTTCTAACCTTAGGTCCCTGGGCGGGACCCGGAAAGAAATGTGTAAACGCCAGAAATCAAAGAAAATAAAAATAATAATAATACGACATTCGACACATAAGCATATACACAAGCGTACGCAAACCACACACACACACACACACAAAGACACAAAAAGAGGAAAAAATCAACCTCACACCAACGGCACTTAAATTATTTTTTTTTAACTTAGTATAAGAATAACGAAATTCCGTAGTCACTTGCTGAAACCTCCTGACAACAAATGGACCGAAAGATTACAAAAACGCTCGTCTACGAAAATCTCGAGTCGGGGTGCTGAACATAACATCTTTCTGCGAAGTGACAAATTTTATAATAATATTTTACAATATTATATTTGCATAAATCCTATATATATATATATATATATATATATATATATATATATATATATATTAAGGCGTGAAACTGGCAATCACTATGAAGTGTTGATTTTGTCGACACGTAACTATAAGCACTTTATCTCCAAATATCGAGCACAGTAACCCTATCAATATATCAAAATTTAAGCAATACATACATGCATACAAACATATATAGATATAGATGCACACACACGCGCACAAACACACACACACACACACACACACACATATATATATATATATATATATATATATATATATAAAAAACTGAATGACATAGTGATAAAAAAAATCTATGTAACGCATTTTGTCCTTCAAAGGGATTTCGTCAGACTAATGAAGTCCTTTTAAAGGACGAAACGCATTACACAGTGTTTTCCATTTTGTCTCCCACATATGTGTGTGTGTGTGTGTGTTACTATAATTCTAGCAGTAGAGGGAAAAGTGAAACCATTGTGAGAGTTATATTTCAGTTTTACTTATCGTTAACCATTGATTTACTACTACTCCATTTCGCTCCTGCACTTGAAATCATTTCTACACGAACGAGATATTTCTGGTAAGGGATCGTCAATGGGCAAGGAACCAATACAAACATTACTAATAGAATGGATGTATAATATTTTCTATATATAAAAATTATAGTTAGAAAATAGATTTCTGATTTTTATTTCTTTTGTTTTTGCGTTAAATCTATAAAATCAAATCACGATCACTTTTCCTAAAACTTCATCGTTTCTCACATGTTCAGTTCGTGATATTCTCAGCATCCTTCTGTAGAAGCACATTTCTGTTGTTTCAAATTTCTTCTTCATCTGTGAGAAGATTGTCCCGCATTCAGTGGAAAATATAGGGTTACTGACATTGCGTAATAGTTCAGTACTCTTTTCTTTATTTCTAACGAAATTTTCCTATTTCTTAATACTTCGCTTGGCTTTTAGAAAGCATTTTTCGCTATCCCAATGCGCCTCCAGATTTCGGCGTCACGCTTTCCGTCCCCTGTTAAAACATTTCCCAGATATTTAGATTGTTAAACTTGATTAATTTTGGTATCTCCAATTTATAATTTACATGTTGGGTTGTCCCATTTGCTAACGTCTTGATCACTACTAAAATTAATTGGACATTTCCAAGTTCTACAAAATTTATCGTATGTTTTTAGTTGTCGTTCTGACAACTTGGCATATTTAAATGTTTTGTGATTGACTATCAAAAGATTATCGACTTCAATCCTTTTAGCTCAGAATCTATGAATGATGCTTTTTTAATGCATGTAATGTATTATTGCATTAAACAGTTAGTGGCAAACTGGGTTTAAAAATATTACTTGCCAGGAGAGAAAGGTGGGCCCCTCCCAACTACAATGCTATCCTTTAATTTTCATAACGAATAAATAAAACCAGCCACCTCCATGCCTTTTCAAATACGTTTAACACTTCGTTCCTTCATACACAAAGTGATTATTTCTTTTTCTTTATTGCATTTTTATTTGGTACTAGCAGTATGGCCCGGCGTTGCCCGTGCTTGATTCAAAAATCGTACGACTCATACAACAATCGCTATCACATGACTTAAAATATTTTTGCCCTTCCTTGCCTTTAAAGAAGTGCCCTTTTCCGTGCTGATGTTGCTACATGCCTTACTTCTTGCCTATCTCACACTGCGAATTTTTTCTAAGCTCTATACTAAACATTAAATCTGTTACGAAAAAAGAACTAAACAAAATGAACACAAAACGATCAGCTTTAAAAAAGGACTCGTAACTGGAAAAACCGAATGAAAAAAGAATGTTAACAACAAATACTTTTTTACACCCAACCCAGTTCTGTGGAATCAGAATCAACGTTGAGTTTAAGCAAGCGAATGAGCCAATTGGAGTAAAGTGCCATGCAGATTTAAATTTTTCCCACTTGTGACGAATGCAGCTATCGATTTTTTTTTTTTTTTTTGCATGCTAGCATGCTAGTTAACATTCGTGTCAGTCAGCTGTTGGCACGAATTGTAATTTTATTTTGAAATTCACATACACTTGTTGAAAACATTGTAATTTCCTTAATTAATGCACCCCCTCACCATGCCACACCCTTCCACCGCGTTCTCTCCCTCGTTCAGTTTCTTGCATTGCTCGTTTGTGTCCTGTTCTCTTTTTTTCTCTCTCTCTCATTCCTTTTTATTGCTAAAACAGTTGTTTCTATAATGCATTTTCGTTTGATATAGGAGACCCACTTTATCAGGGAACCCTCTTGCCATCGGGCAAGCTGACACTCTCACCACTATACCACTATCAGCAACAGCCAAAATACTATAAGTAAAACAATCTACAATTCCAATGAAGATCATTAAATTTTAGATTGATTAAACTTTAAAGCAATGCCAGTGCTGAATTAAATGTTCTGAAATGAAGACTCCTGAATATCTCTTTAAGAGCTTTTTTATGAATGCAGTTTTGATTCCAAGTGAAAATAATATATTAAAGCGAAATTGTATTGAAAGTTCACTCATTTCAGAATCCTCTACGATAAATGTACGTCCAGAATCTTACATCATAGCTTCATTCTTCACAAAAATACAATTTGGGATAATTAAAACAATGTGATATAATAAGTTAAACATCTTGATACACCGAACGTCAACATTTAAATTTAAAACTGACCGCCTCTGTATCGATGTGTAAACTGTAAATTGTAAGCGACATTTGTTGTATTTCTCCCCTTACCTTTCCCTCAGCTCATATATATATATATATATATATATATGATTGGTGTATACGGAATAAATTCCAATAACCAACAATTACTATTCTTAAAAGAGTGCTCAATACAGAGTAGAGCGAATATAATTATTTATTTAAAAACTATAACATTGATATGTTATAAAATCACTACAAAAGTAGCCATTTTGTTTCAACACCTTTGAGGTGTTGAAACAAATGGGCTATTTTTGTAGTGATCTTATATCATATTTATGCTAAAATTTTAAATAAATAATTATATATATATATATTATATATATGTATATTATATATATATATATATATATATATATATATATATATAGAGAGAGAGAGAGAGAGAGAGAGAGAGAGATTTTTTATCAATAAAATGATAATAGCAATTCGTCTGAAGAAGTTCGTTCCCTGAACGAAACGCGTCACTAAGAAGTTTTTTTTTTTCATTTTTCATTCACTTATCCATGTAGTAGTAAAATTAAAAATGGCTTCAAGCGAATGAATCTTTTAGATCTTAAAGTAGAAAATAGTTCCTCAGACGCTATTGACTGGGTGCTAATTAATCATAAAGAGCTTTATTAAATAACAAAAAAAGGAGCATAACGTGAACACGTCTAACAACACCAACAAAAACAAAAACTGAATACACGTGCAGCTAAACGACAAAATAATAATATAATCAAGATGGTGACTTTCCAGCTCAATGGTTCAGTTATCAGGACTTTGCACTGACCAGTCTTCAAAAAGTTGAACATCTTCATTACCAAGAAATCTTTTTGTTGCATGTGAAGTGTGGCAAAGAGCACCGTTATGTCGAAAAATTTCACCATCTTCGTAGTATGGCAGAGGATTAGGCCGTAATAAACTAATATAGTTTTTGCTGCAAGTTTCCATCAACTTTTACCAATTTTCTTCTACCATTGATTTTGATAAAACTCCACATCATTATGTGTCTATTACCAAATTTTACCGTCAATTTGGTATATTTTGCATTATTTCTTTCTCGGACTAGTTTTCCTACATATCCGTTTGCTTTAGAATATAATTCTATTTTGCATTTATCACTAAAAATTAATTTTTGACTCTTTCCAGTATCCCATGTTAGATGTTCTTTTGATCACTTCAATCTTCTACCTGATGCTTTTTTGGTTTTTTGCTGCTATAAATCCGTTCAAGTTGAGTTTTTTTTTCCCCCGTAATACTCCACCTAAATTCTGAAAATTTATTTACTATTTTTTTTCTCAATATGAACAGATAATTTCCCCTTTGTCCGCTTCACACACCTCCTCGGTCTTTTGAACGGAAACAGAGATTTATCCCTTGTTTCCTGTTTAGGATTGAGTTTCCGGTTTCTTTTAAAGTCTACTTCAACTGTATACTTCTAACGTCTCTGCCTAAACTTTGATATTTCATTTACTATCTTTTAATTTTTTATTTTATTTTCCTCAATACGAGTAAATAGGTTCCCCTTTCGCCCGGCCCACACTCTTCCCGGTCTTTTGAATAGGAGTAGAGGTTTATCCCTTGTTTCTTGTTTTGGATTGGATTTCCGGTTACTTCTAAAGTCTTTTTTTTTTTCATTCTCTTTCATTCACAGTAGACCCTTGCATCTTAGTGGCAGTGGTGTGAATTGATTAAAAAAATATTCTGCAGGGTGTATCAACTAAAACCTCACTGTTAAGACTACATCCACTCTTCACTTGTCTGGTTGTTAATTTTGCATTGCCTACTGAGACACTCACAACCTTTCGTTCATCTCTCTTGTCTAATGTTTGTGGTCTTCCGGTTTTCTTTGCACTTAAAACACTTCCAGTAGTAGTAGTAGTAGTAAACGTTTTTTTGGGTGATTTGATCACTGTTTCTGGAAAATTCCTAGCTGTCTGGTTGAGATATCTTCCTCTTCAAAGTTACAACCTTCATCTTTGTTTCAGTAGAAATTTTAGCCACAATTCTAGTGTAAAAAGCGCATCCTAATGTCTAACTACAATGACTTGCCAAGACAACTTACAGTCATGTTAATAAGATGGATCAATTCCTACTTGTAATTTGCATATCATCGTGACTTTATCTGATAAAGATACGTGATGATAAAGTTTATCACTACGTATCTTTCATTGGCCCAATAATTTTGCATGGCCTTTTTCAGCTTCCAGTAGTGGATCTTCTGTTACCCGACACCTACGAAAACAACTTATTTTTCAGGGTTCAAAATCCACAAACACTATACTCCTAAACAATATTAAATTCTGAGTACAATTAATGTGTATAAACATTTTATGTAGTTTGTCCAAATCTTTTGCACGCTGTGTATATAGGAGGCATTACTTTCTGAGCATTCATTGAAATTATCATTTCTTCACTTTTCAAACAGTAAGCTTCACTATTAACAATATGCCCTTCCCTTTTTCCGGTGTGGAAAATTAATGTTTTTATAAATAAGAAAGAAATGTTATTTTCATTGCAGTTTTACTTTCAAAATTACTTTGTCAGTCCAGCATGCAAACCTTCAATTTCTCTGGTGGACAAATTCTTCATAATCATTTCCCAGAACAATTTTTTCTTGCAGGCAATATGTCTTATGCTTATAGCATCACTTGTCACTTTAACTGGAGACATTCTTAATTAGTTTTTTTTTTAATGCCAGCTTTTTAGTATTGTGATCATAAATTATTGTAGGTTGCTACATTCTTTTCAGTATTATTTTCGCATATGTTAACGTATTGTTAATACTAATGCTTTTTTAAACATTATATTTTATTTTTTTGTTTTGTAGCAAGAGATTTCGATGTTCCCAAAGCAGTAACAATGTTTCGTAATGTAAGTCTCTCTTCCTTTTTCTTTAAAGTTTTTCGCTTTCAATTTTAAGCCGTGTTTAAAAAAACAATTTTAAAACGGTTAGTGTGTGTGTGTGTGTGTGTGTGTGTGTGTGTGTGTGTGTGTGTGTGTGACAGAGAGAGAGACAGACAGACAGAGACAGAGACAGCCATTAGTCTCACTTTTTTTTAGTTGGGAATGTAGTGCCTATTCAATATTGCGTCTGGAGTGACCGCATCTGGAGGCACTACCCTCTGATTTATTAATACTGTTGCTTTTTTTTTGTTTGTTTTTTTTCACTGAATGCGCATATTTCTTCAGTAATATATCCACGCCTTTCGTAAACTTTTTTTCTACCCCTTCATAATTTTAGCCTCCAGTTGTCAATGTTCATTTTCAGTGCTTTCCTGCTTCACACGTGGACATCTTTGAAACGAAGATGGGACCATTCTTGTCGTCTCTTACTAGCAACAATTACTTTACACTTAAGCAAATCAATCAGTTGACAATGACATGACATATGATACTATCCTTGGTCCTAATATCCTAATATTCTCACTCTCCAGTAGGATTAGCCAGAATGCTGTTGCAAGCTATGTAGTTTTGTTTTGAAGACATGATACAAACATGTCTTCAGTTAGTTGAAATGTTACGGATTAGTAACCATGGCTAGAGATACCAGTCTGTCCTGCTATCTAGCCCATAGCTAAGACGAGGGGAAGATATGGATCCATACCTTTCCCAGTGGTATTTGTGCGAAAGTTAATGTAACGAAATCGACCGGAGTTTGAACTTGCCTCACAAGATTTGGACAATTATTTTCTCTTTTCCTACTTGAGTAGAACGCATTGAATACTTAGGATCTACGATGTCTAAAGAGAAATAAATACTTACACAAATCTATTGACAAATACGAAAGATTTTATTTTAGCGATAAGGCAATTAACGACTCCATAAAAAAGGTAAAAATGATAAAAAAAAATACACACGTACCAATAATCTATTGACATGGGTATGTTTCTAAGCCTATCACACTATATTTATATCCCAACTAGCAGCATGGCCCGTGCTTGATTCACAAATCGTACGACTCATACAGCAATCGCTATCACATGACTTAAAATATTTTTGCCCTTCCTTGCCTTTAAAGAAATGCTGATATTGCTATATGCCTTACTTCTTGCCTATCTCACACTATTTAACAATAAATACTTTTTCACATCCAACCCAGTTCTGCGGAATCAGAATCAACGTTGAGTTTAAGCAAGCGAATGAGCCAATTGGAGTAAAGTGCCATGCAGATTTAAATTTTTCCCACTTGTGACGAATGCAGCTATCGATTTTTTTTTGCGTGCTAACATGCTAGTTAACATTCTCACGCTGGCCAATAGAATCGTCCTGTCTATTCGTGGCAGCCAGCTATTGGCTCTCACTCTGGCCAGTAGAAAATGGCCGCAAACTACATGAAAACTGCCATAGAAGCGTGAAAAAATCGATTATTTCCACTATCGATGGGAGTTGGGAAATGCAAGGTCGGTCTTGGCCTTTCCGCTAACTTGGACACACACACACACACACACACACACACACACACACACACACACACACACACACACACAGAGCCTTTTATAGATAGAGATATGAAAAAAATAAGATAAAATAAATGAGTCTGAATAATTTTGTATTTTTGGCAGTGGTATTTGGGCTTTAAACAAAGAAAAAAGATAAGTTGGTGTCATTTATTGCTGGGCACCCAACATGTATGTTTTGAAAATTGCAGTTCTTTAAACTTCAAGTAAACGATAATAGAAAGTGCTTGAGAATGATAACAGAAAAAAAACAAGAAAAATGGGTCCTTTTTAATTAAATATAACTTACAAGAAACTGTTTTTTTTAAGAATTTACGAAATGGCATGAAAATGGTTTATCGATGAAATTTTCAGATACAGAGCAAATGATAAAAGTTAGAAACTAGGGACATACGATAAAAAAGAATGTTAAACCATTTTATTTGTCTTTAAAGAAAATTAAAATAAATCCAAAGTTTTTTTAAAAATATGAACTGCATTAGATTTATAGATTATGTTTTCTTTTTAAAATTTTAAATTACATCCAGTTAATCATTTTTGCTTTTAAGAACAAAACGAGACTGAAATGTCTGATACTGAAATCTATGACAGGAAAATCTATGGCCGAAATGTGCGGTTTGAATTGTTCACGACCTAAATACCCACTTATCAAATCTATCATACTTTTACCAATTCTACATTATTGTAGCCATTTTGAAATCGTGGACAGACCTTGTTCCTAATTCAGTAGCGATTTTGTAAATTTGGGATTTAGTTTAAGGACCGTAGTAATTAATTTCCCACAGATGAAACATCGCAACACTAATTGCAGCTTTGTCGCTATTTCCATGGAAACTGTTCAGACGAACTACATTCATTAGTTCCACCAGTTCTAACCTTCACGGCTAAGACCCGCCATGCTACGCACGCTGTAGCGAGCCACCTCCATTCCCATTAATGGGATGTAAGTTCCACTCGAGCAGATTCTTCCCACAGACCGCTGCTTTGTGGAACCGACTCCCAACAGGATGCTTCCCCGATCAATACAATCTTAACTTATTCAACTCTAGGGTTAACCGTTGTCTTCCCCCCATGAACTGGGCCTCTTACTATGTAATCTTCTACATCGAGTGGATCTGGCCTTGTAAAAAAAAAGCATTTACTTGGAAACAATTTTGAACACCAATACCCGATAAAAGAAGCAAAACTTTTCTAAAATTTATTTTTTTAAAATCTTTGTCTTCGCGAGAAGAATATCAAGGCGAGAATTGTTGTGGAGTGGTTTCACAGTGGAGGCTTGTATTTGTACTAAGTCGATCCTAAAATAGGTTCGACGTACAAAACGTTAGGAACTTGATATAATAGGTATAACGCAGAGTAATCTAGTTGTGGTCGCTGATACTTTAGTATTCGACTAACTGTCGTCCGACATCGACTGACTCAGTGACCGACCGACCAACTGACTTGTTACTCTTACTACTCCTACTTATTATAGGTGGGAGAGTCTATTAACTATAGAATAGGCATGTTCCACTATAAGAAGAATATATTTTAAAATGTCCTCAAAGTCAATGAAGGAAGGCTACTGCTTAAAAAATTGTTTTTAAAAAAATTACTAAAATTGCATGAAAATGTCTCACGCTTTGATATGATGATTAAGTTAATATTTTCTTATCTTGAAATTAAATGATATTATTTATTTATTTTACTAATATTCACTTTATGCGAGGAAAAAGGGCTACTCAAGGTAGTGGGTTACTAAATGCAGTTGTTTTGTGAACGGTAAGAGTAAAGGACGCAGATTATGAAGATATGTGTGACAGATAACGGTTAATCCTAGACTTGAAGTGGATAAGATTGTAGTAGTCGGGAAAGCATCCTACCGAGATCCTGTTCCACAAAGCAACACTTCTTACGAAGAAGCTACCCGAGTGAAACTTACTCCTTGGTAAAGGACTACGAAGGAAATGGGGTTGGTTTCGCCTCGATGTGCGCGATGTGGCAGTTCTTAGCTGGGAGGGTTAGAGTTGAGGGAACTAAGGAATGTACCTCGTCTGAACATTTACCATGAAAATAGCGATAGAGTAGCGAGAGGCTTCCAACGTATCGTCTATAGGAAAAGGGCTGTAAGACGGAAAACAAATCATCATCCACAAGGTCACTAAGACGCTTTTGGACTCTATCAAGACTGGAAAGAGAAGACTGGACAGCTTCAGTCCAGATATGGCAGCAGTAATCCATTTTCGACCTGAGCTGTTAAAGAAGACGACGAGAGATTTGGGCAGGTTCTAACTAGAACAGGAGTTCCCAGAATATGAGCACTAGAAGTAAAGATTTTAAGAGTTCGCATATGTGTCACGGTGGAGTAATGGATAGCGACTCGGATTGAGGAATCGGAGAGCCGAGTTCGAATCGCAGTCGAATCTATTATATTCACTTACGTGCTAGTAACCTTGCGAAAGGTACGAATTCTTTCCTTCTTTCCCCATGCTATGGGTAAATAGCGCGACACACCTGGTTCCCTAGCCTTGGACGGCAACTGGTCTGCTGCAGAAAGAAATGGCAACCTAATGCGGGAAAACATCTATCTCGTCAGAAAGGGAACGGAAAGGGAAAGATACAGGATCACCTAAACGTGTATCACGCATGGCACATAACTGACTGCTTGTATATATGCCGAGTTTGAATTCCAGTTGAATCCATTATATTCACTTATGTGCTAATAACCTTGCGAAAGGTATGAATTCTTTTCTTATTCCCCCAGCTATGGGTAAATTGAAGGACAGATTGGGTTCTATAGATTTGGATGGCAACTAGTCTACTGTAGAAATAGCAACCTAATGCAGGAAAAAATCTGCCTCGTCAGTAATGTATGGAAAGATACATGATCGCCTAAACGTGTATCACACATGGCACATAACTGACTGATTGCTTGTATATATGTGTTGAAACTTGAATAAAGCATGGAATAATAATAATACAACACAAAATGTACTTAAACAAAATGTATTGAAACAAGAAAGGGTACCCAATATTTACAGATAGTTTTGGTATATTCTTGGGAAGACCGTTCCTGTAGAATGGGTTGACTTAGTCGCAGTCGGGCAGAGTCTCTGGATTGGATCTCTTCTTCCTCACCCCGTCTTCCCGGTACCAACCATATTTATATGGTCGGTACTCCACTATGTAAATTAGGTGGATCGTACCACAACAATATGCCAAGCATATTCCAGTCGAATCCATTACATTTTATCAAAAAATACATGATTGCCTTCATGTGTATCACCCATGGCACATAACTGACCGACTAAAGATGTTTCTTATTTTATGCTAATACTTCATTGTGAAGTTTTGCTTTAGAGATAATAGGGTGTTTTGGAATAATTAAGTTATAAGACAAGAAACATTCCCTTTTAAACTCTCAATTTTTCAGTCTCTCAATCCCTCACGCATATAGTTAACTTCCCCACTCGTTTTGCCTTCAACCGGGAAGGTAAAGCTTCTCTTCTCGATCTGTGTTTTACCTCCATCCCCGAGTCCTGTAGCGCCACGCAACTCTGCCCTCTTGGTAACTCTGATCATGCGGTAGTATCTGTTAACATCTCCTTCAACTCCACCCCCTGCAAAGAACCTCCTACCACTAGAACTTCGTTCTACTATCAACGAGTTGACTGGGACGCGTTCCGTGATTTCCTCCGCGATGTCCCCTGGGATCGTGTCTTTACGCTCCCCGTTCAATAATGTGCTTCTGAGGTCTCATCCTGGATTAAAGCTGGAATCGACGCTTTCATCCCCTCAAGGAAATATAGGCTCAAGTCGCGCTCCTCCCCCTGGTTCTCCGCTGCTTCCTCAGCCGCCATCGCCCATAGGAACCACTTCTTTCATCTATTCCGTAGCGACATGCCTGACTGCAATAGACGTCTCTTTGCCTTCGCCCGTAATGAGTGTAAACGTGTCCTCAACGATGCTAAGTCACTATTTGCTGATCGGATGAAGGAGCGTATTGCATTTCGCAAATTTGGCTCCAAAGATTATTGGCGTCTCTGCAAGAGCGTATTGAACAATTGCAAACCCTCTATACCTCCATTGTTCAACCAGTTCGAAGTCCTGGCCTCCTCTGCCGACAAGGATGAATGCTTTGCTCGGAAATTTTCATTCAACTCAACGCTCGACTCTTCCGGTGTACCCATACCCGACTTCCCTCTTAGAACTGAAGCCCTATTGAGTGGGTTACACATAACCCCGTCATTGGTATTGGGCGTTATCTCCAATTTAGACCCCAACAAGGCTAGTGGTGGAGATGGGATACCAGCAATTGTCTTGAAGAAATGCGCGCCTGAACTGGCGCCCGCCCTTTCTAAACTATACAACTACTGCCTCAAGGAATCTTGTTTTCCTGACTGCTGGAAGTCCTCTTCGGTTGTTCCTGTCTTCAAGAACTCTGGCGACCCCTCTGACCCATCTCACTACCGTCCTATCAGTCTCCTACCCCTCTTCGGCAAAGTCTTCGAAGCCCTAATCAATACCGAGGTGGTTAACCACCTCACATCCCATGATCTGTTCTCAGACAAGCAATATGGCTTCCGCTTTGCCTGATTTTACAGCTGATGTGCTTACAGCCATCACTGAAACTGTCTACCGAGCTCTTCAAAATAACGGGGAAGCTCGTGCCGTGGCCCTTAGACATCTCCAAAGCATTTGATAGGGTTTGGCATGCCGGCCTTCTTCGCAAGCTCCAGGGTTATGGCATTACGGGTCGATTGTTTGACCTAATACAATCATTCCTGTCAAACCGTGAATTGAAGGTCGTTCTCAACGGATTCTCCTCCAGTTCCTATCCGACGAACGCAGGTGTTCCTCAAGGCTCCATCCTAGGCCCCACTTTATTCCTTATCTACATAAATGACCTTCCTGACGCCATAAATACCCAAGTTGGCATCTACGCGGATGACACCACAATTTATTCCTGCCTCAAAAACAAATCTAGTGTCACTGACAAAACTAACCTGGCCGTGCGTCTCGAAAAGGACATCCAATCGGTTGTGAACTGGGGCAGGAATTGGCTAGTCAACTTTAATGCTTCAAAAACAAAACTGCTCTCTATTAATCACCACAGAGATCCTTCCCTGTCCTCCATTAGAATGCCTGACGCTCAACTTCTCGAGAGCAACTCTCTGCGGCTGCTCGGTCTCACGTTGACGGCTAACCTGAGATGGAACAAATACATTGAGTCAATTGCTTCGTCCACCGCAAGGAAAGTTGGCTCCCTGTGCCGCGCCAGGAAATATTTCTCCCCGGAATCGATCCTGCAGATCTACAAATCAACAATTCGCCCTTGCATGGAGTATTGCTGCCATATATGATCTGGAGCCCCGTCTGTTCTTGATAGGCTCCAGAGGCGGATATGCAATATAATTGGCCCTGATCTGGCATCTTGTCCAGAGTCACTTTCTCACAGACGCGCCGTCGCCTCTGTCTGTCTGTTTTACAAATACTTTCATGGCAATTGCTCTGAGGAGCTGCATTCGCTGGTTCCCAGACTTCAAGAGTTCAAGCGCCCTACGAGGCTGGCATCCCGCTCTCACTCCTTCACTGTCGAAACTCCTAAATGTAGCCGTCTCTTCTACTCCAGTAGCTTCATGTCTCGCACCTCTCACCTGTGGAACTCCCTTCCCTATTCCAGTTTCCCTGAGAGCTATAATCTCCAGCTATTCAAATGTAATGTCAATCGACATCTCCAGTTGCCTTGATCTATCGACTACCCTTCTCCTCATCCTTTCTTCTATCACTCCTATCTAATCTTGCTCCAAATTTTCTGTAACCCCTTGCATCCTAGTGGCTTCCCACCTTGCTTGGGGTGAAACACTTAAAAAAAAAACTCCTGAAGATTGATTTTAAGGGCAAAAAATCAATTTTAAATAAAAATCCAAAGAGTTAGAATTGTGATTGCACATAAATCTCCTGGTTTTTGGTAAGTCAAAAATTGAAGATGGAAAAATATTTTTTTTAAATATTGACCACCAATACAGATATTAAACTGGAGAAATGCATTTTTTATGCAGATAAAAGCAAATGTGATTTATGTATGCTTGATAATACAAGGGTTGAAAGTTTGACAAGTCGCAGAGATAGGAATATAATTAAGTTTTGGTGCACCAAGGAATTGAAGAATTTTCATAATTGCTATTTGTTATTTGAAAGTTTGAAATGTTTTCATTTTATTTCAGAGTATGGAATTCAGAAAGAAGATGAAAGTGGATGAATTAGTTTCTAACTACAAAGAACCAGAAGTGAGTATTCAAAAAGATTTCTAATTTACAAAATGCATAAAACTGATGTTTATTGACAGAGTAGAAATGGGTAGTCATTTCAATGTTGTAGACTGGTCCTATATCAATATATAAGCAGATTTAAAAACTTATAACTTAGTATTAAGTTTAAAAGATAGATTGTTTTTGTATTACTCTTTACACTTTTTGAAGAATATTGTTATCAGATCTTTGTTATAATTTCTAATTAATTTTTATTGCTCATTCGTTTTCTTTTAAAGTTTGGCAGCCAAATTCTCTTTTGAGAATAGGTTAAATTCAATAAATGTGTAGGCTGGCCTGGAATGGCAAATTACTGGTCAGAAATCTGAAGTCCAAAATTGAGTCAGGGTGAAATTCTGACAGTGATGGATTGTTATTGTTTTAAAGTTTTACAATATAAGACTAAAAAGCATGAAAACACTTGAATGGCTGTAAGCATTAGAAGATTCGGGATACCTCACTGCACCCAGATTCCATAAGGAGTAAAGCTAGCATATGGTGAAGAGATTTTGGTTGACATGCACTCTCTCTCACTCTCTCTCTCTCTCTCTCTCTCTCTCTCTCTCTCACACACACACACACACACACACACACACACACACAGAAACATCTACAATTACTGTCCCTCATAAAATAAAGAGAGATAAAAAGAAAGTTGCCCATCATTGATAAAGACTATCATCATGTTAGGATCTGAAGAATCAAAGCCACAGATGACACAAAATACAACATTGTTGTTAGATATTATGACATTATCAGCTGTTTATATAAGTGGATTTATCATAAGTAGGACTTATTAAATACATCAAATTTTCATTCACTCCAATTATTGCAGCTATCTGACAAAGAACATTCCAATAGTGGGAAGAAAGAAACATTAATCACAGTTGGATTTTACCCCTGTCCATGCTTTTAAATAGGTTCACTTTTTCTTTTTTATGCACTGACAAACTATATACATTTTTAGTAAGAAAAAAATTAAAAAAGAAAAAACATTATAAGAGCAGGGATGACTTAATGCCAATAAATAAATCTGTTTGTTTTATAACAGAATATCTCATTTAACATTAAATTTTAAATTGTATTTTATATATTATGTATTGAAAAAGGTGGATGAAGTCCAACAGCTGAAATATTGTAACAATAACAACAATGATGAGGACATTAATCGAAATGTAATAATAACTCCTCATTTCAGAAATGTATAAAGAAATTTTAATTATTTTGATGAGTTTAGCATAATTTAACAATTTATTAAAAAAAAAAACTTAAATTCACCCAAATATAACAATTGAAATAGTCAGACAAGAATCCTATGAAACAATAGCCTAGTGTATTAAAGCATTAGTTTATGAATATTTACATTATTCAGACCATTATCATATTCACAATGTTTCTGCCATTGTACACTCTGGCCTTCTTCAGAACTAAATCACTGGGATAGATTGTTCTAGTTTCACGTGCCATGCCTCTTCCAGATGTTTTAGTTATTTCTTTTTAACTCAACTCTCCAAGTTTTCTGGTTCACCACTGCTGTAGCCTGGTATTGAACTCACAACTCTTTAGGTCTAGTCACTGGATCTAACCAACGTCTTTATCCACTGGGTCATATGTTGTTGGGGACATCTATTTATAAAATTCTTTGGATTTATAAACCTAATGTCTCAGCAACCATTTTTTTCAGTGCTCATATTGCAATTTTTCTGTTATTATTATTTTATATTTTTTACCACAGCTTATATTGCAATTTTTGTTATTATTCATTGCTTTTCTCAAGCTCTCCTTATTACTGGTTCCCATATTGTATCCATTTCTATGCTTGGTCAGCTCAGGAGATTTTTGTGGCCTAGCATATGTGCTGATTTCTTAAGTTTTCGTATTTTCCAGTGATGTTCTCTATCTATTATTTCAACCTCATCCCATGGGGGCAGTGATCTTCCTTTTCCGCCATATGTGGTCAGCTATGCCTGATTTTTCCATTTCCCCTCATGTTACCGCTTTACAATGTTCTTGCAGTTTTACAACGGCCAAAACATTGTGAATATGGCAATGAAGCCGAGGATAATAGTCTGAATAATATAAATAATGATAATACCTCATCACAGAGATATAGACAGATATTCATGAACTTGAGGAGATAGTAATTGTGAGTTCACTTCCTTGGACTCATTGGAAACAAGGCAAGCAGTACTAAAAATAAGAACTAGAGATGGGCAATGAAATAAGAACAGTTTACCCCCATAGATTAAATAAAGGGTTCAGTTTTGAATTACCTGTAGGTTAGCTAGATTGATATACACCTGATGATGGCTGGATTGGGGTGGCAATAGTCCAAGTATAAATAGTCTAAATAATGATAACTCCTCATCCTAGAAATTCCGAAAAGACTAATAAGAACTAATTTATCACTGCACACTGTTTATATCTAAATCCTCTATCAGAAAATAAAATAATGTTTTTAAAATCTATTCTTTTCAGCAGGATCAATGACGATATACTTTAATAACTGCATCTATCTGACAATCTTGTCATTGGAGCTGACCTGGATTTCTGAATTTTCCAATTTTCTGAACTAAGGCTTAATATATGTAATTAGAATATAAAATAAACAATCTTTGTTGTTGTATTCACTAGCTTTCAGCTGCTGTACACTCTGGCCTTCTTCAAGTGATTTGAATTTCGAATTGAACTGAATCCACCAGAGTAGATTGCTCTAGTTCCACATGCTATGCCTATTCTGGATGTCTCAGTATCAATTACCTCTCTTTAACACGACTCTCCAAGTTTTTGTTTCCCTCAGCTGTAGCCAGGTATTGAACTCACAACACTATGTGTCAACCAATGCTTTTATCCACTGGGCCATGTGTCACTGAAGATATCAGTGTATGAATTTTTTGAACTTATAGTTTCATTTTTTACCAGAGCTCATATTGTAATTTTTGTTATTATTGTCGTTATTGTTTTTCTCTAGCACTCTCTATTACTGTTTCCCATATTGTATTCATTTCTATACTTGGTTGACTTAGGAGATTTTTGTGGCCTACTATATGCACTAATTCCTTAAGTTATCATATTTTCCAGTGATGTTCTCTGTTTATTATTTCAACCTCATTGCATAGGGGGCAGTTATCTCCCTTTTCCTTCCATATGTGGTCAGCTATGCCTGATTTTCCTATTCCCCCTCATGTTACAGCTTTATGGTGTTTCTGCAGTCTTATCTTAAGAGGACAACCTTTTTCTCCTTTATATGTCTTACCACAGCTGCATGGGACAGTGCACACACAGTCTTTAATCATTTTCTCCATGGAAGGTCTTACTCCGAAGAACCACTTTTGAAGGTTGTCCTGATTTTATATGGACCACATATTTTTTGTATTAGAAGTTAAACAAAATCGAACCTGGTCAGTACCTACATGGGCGACCACTTGGGAATACAAGATGCTGTAAGTTTGGACGTATGAGTGGTGTAATGGAAAATGGCTCAGAATTGTTAATTGGAGAGCCAAGTACCAGTTGGGATCATTATATTCACTTATGCCCAAATACCACTGGAAAAAATATCAATCTACCTCTTCCCCCATGTATGGGTTAATTAATCAGACTTCACTAAAAGATTATCTCCTCCCCCAATAAAATATTTAGAATTGAGCATTAAATAACCCATAGAGGTTGATATGCCACTAAACAAAATCAACCAAATCAAATCATTATAATGTTTTTGGTTTTTACAAAGATTTCACACTAATTCCCAATAACAAGTTTTTATTTACTCCTTTACCCAACTTATGTTCTCTTTGTGATGTTTACTTAAAGATGACAGTTTGGCTAAACACCAGTGTCCTTCATATTCTGCATCTTTTCACATTTGCAATAGCAACTTTTTCAAATATTTACTTGTTGATCAAGCCTTTCACTTTTCTTGCTTATTACTCTTCATTTTTATCAAATGTCTTTTTGTGACATTCTTAAAGCCAGTTATTTTTCCTTGTTCTCATCTTGCCATTGTTTTCAATTTCTTCTTTGACTTTTCTATGACCTCCAGTCAACTTTTTTGCAGTATCCAACATTGTTCCAATCACTCAATAACTGTACAATATATATATATATATATATATATATATATATATATATATATATATATATATATCATGGAATTTCATGTTATTGATTGATGCAGGCTGTTGTGCCTACCAGGGTCTCATTTTTTTTATGACATATGAGGGTCAGGCCACTCAGTTTCGAGGAACCAACAGCCAGAAAATTTGCACATATGATTTGACTATAGTGGTGAAGGTTTTGTGCAAAACCAACCACACCTTTTGAAAAGCCGAATACAGAGATTTGGTGCACTCTATGTCACAAGGTTCCCAAACAACCCTACACAGGTTCAGAGTTGTCTTTCTCCTAGATCAGTTGCCACCCAAGGCTATAGAACCCAGTCTGTTCTGCTATTTACCCATAGCTGGGGGGAGAAGAAGAGGATTCATACCTTTCCCAACGGTTGTACATTAGTGAATGTAATGGATTTGACTGGAATTCAAACTCGGCTCTCCAATTCCTCAATCCAAGCCACTATCCATTACTCCACCGTGCCTAAAGAATATATAATATGAGGAACACTAAATTTGTATAATAAAGTCTTCCACCACCAAATAAGTTTTTATAAATATTTCTTAAAGTCTTGAAATTAAATCCACATTATAGTTATCATATAAGTATTACATGTTATTAATATTGAATTTTTTTTTAATTTTACCAATATTGATTTATTTTAATATAAATTTTGTGAAACCCTTTACTTAAATAATAAAATCTGATACAGTGTCTATTATGTCTTTGAGAGGAAATAAATTAATTAAATGAATATCAATGCAAAAACTCAGATATGACAGGTTAATTTTTAATTTTAAATTTTTAAATTTTATATTTTTTTCTTGGAATTTTAGGTAATAACAAAATACATGCCTGGAGGAGAAGTTGGCCATGATAAGGAGGGTTCAAGTATACGTGTTGTGCCTTGGGGTGACCTTGACATGAAAGGTTTGATGCTTTCCTGCAAGAAGTTAGATTTTGTAAAAAGCAAGATTGTTCAGTTTGAACGCACACTGAAAGATATCAACAAAATGACAGAGAAGGTAAGTAAAATGAAGTATAAATTATGGAGAAAAAGAAATTTTCTACCATGAAAAAAAAGATTCTTAAGTATTTATTCAGTGAAATATTACTGTGTATTTTAATAACTATTATTAAATCTGGAGTCATTGAAATGCTACAAATGTTGGCAACAAGAATTATACATTATCTCATGTGATCCTCCCACAAAAAAAAAGAAAACATAGAAACTAACACCAGCAGTGAAAAGTAGATTCACCCTAACTTTTTCAAAAGGCTTCAAAATTTGACAAATGAGCAGCAAAAGGAATGACATAGTAGATAATTGCAATCTTCAGGGTTTGGTACATTAGTGGAAACAAAAAAGGTCAGGTGAGGTAGAAAATTGCTCTCAGAAAAAAAAAAATGAAAAAAGTATCCAGGTTAGTAATGAAAATGAATACAGTAAAACAGTATAAGTAATATTAGAGGAAAGAACAAACCAACCAAGGAAAGCTTCAGAAATGGAAAAATAGTAAGTAGAACTAGCAAAGAAGTGGGTAAAAACTGAGTAACACAAAAAGTGGTCTTATAAGGTAGAGAATTAATTTCAGTCATACTTAGTAGAAACGAAACACTAGAGTAAGTAATGAAAAGGAATACTGAGTAAAACAGTCTTTAATATTAGTGGAAACAAAAATCCAACAAGGAAAAGCTTAAGGAATGGTAAGTCTGAACTACAGATGAGGAAGATAAGAACAAAGGATCAAATGATCAAGAAAATCAAGCCAAGTGACAATAATCAAGTCAAGAAAATTGTCTTCCAATCCATAGAATGCAAATTTAATGTCAAAATTTGTTCAGGCAATTTCTAGGTAAAAATGTTGAAAAATTTGATGTATAATCAGAATTTCTATCACATAGTGACCAGAAATATTTAGTTTATTGGTGTGGAACGTAATTAAAGTTGAAAAGATACATTATAAACAGCCAATTTCATAAACAACTACAGTTTTCCATCTAAAATATCTAATATCTAATCTTTTCTCTTCTACTTTTTAATAAAGGAGAAAAGATTCCATAAAAGTATTACACCAAGTCAGATTGAGATAATTTCTTTTGAACATCAAATATTCCTTCATCCTTTTTTTTAAAATTTCAAAATGGTGTCCATTTTTTTTTAATTTCAACATGGTGTCCTTTTTTTTTAAATTTCAACATGGTGTCCTTTTTTTAAAAATTTCAACATGGTGTCCTTTTTTTAAAAATTTCAACATGGTGTCCTTTTTTTAAAATTTTCCATTCACTGTGCTGCCTGCGTTCATATTGTACAAAGTGTAAAAGGAAGAAAAAATATAATGATTGGGGATGCATCCTCTTGGGAGTCTGTTCCACAAACTAATAGTTCTGGGATAGAAGCTGTCCATCTTACCAGTTGAATATGAAGGGAATAACAATGAGTTGACCCTGTGAATGTGGCATAGTAGATCTTAGATGCGAAAGTCTGAACTGATGAAACAAAGGAATATAGCTAGTCTCAACATTTGTCATGAAAATAGCAATAGAGTAACAAGAAGTTAGAAATGTTTTATCTGTGAGGAAAGAGGTTGTAGAATGGGAAGTAATAAATTACTGTAAGAGGGACTATTATGTAATCCTAAGTGATATTTTATATTTTTTGGTTTTTATATAACTGAGTAAAAAGAGAGAAAATAGACTGGTATATTGAAAGTTAGGAATTGTGTGGGTAATACACATGTGTGAAAGTTCAGTCACTAAGGGGAACGATACCCCCCCCCATGCCCAGGAGTAGGTTCCGGTGGGTGTCATTGTTACAGAATGCTGGGAGGCAAAGAGAGATAATAGTAAAGGAAGTGCCCCATTTTTATAGTTGCTTCACAGCGCCCAATCTACTTGGTGAAATATTAACAGATATTAAGACTTGATTATATTTGATAGGAAAAATATATCCGTGAGAGTTCCCACCCTCGAGTGCCAACGTTAATCGGTTTGAAATATGACACTTTGATGATTCAGTTGGCAGTTAAACCATTTACTAACAATAGTATCCAAGTAGTAGAAAGAACTCATGTACTGAGTAGCATTAGTCAGTTTTGTCCATTTAAAAAAAAAAAAAAAACTCTAATGTCAGACTGATGATGTAATGGAATAACCTGTTACCTCCATTAGTGACTACACTATAAGCAGTAGCTAACTATAAGTATCTGTAAGTCAACTGACTACAGAGTCAATCTGAAATCTTTTCAGCTGTACTGTCAAACTCTCTATCTTCGGGCAGAGAGGAACCTGGACGAGGCTATGCCGAAGGGCAGAGTCTCGTCTCGGAAAGCAGCTCCCCGACCCCGTTTTATATGTGGTCTACGGGGAATTTTTGGCCGAGCCTACGGGCTCGGATTACCTCACATTAAACTCGGCCTTGTGCCATATTTTACCTCGTAGGGAGGCTGGTAAATATCGCCTAGCTGGGATCTGTTACTCAGCTGTTGTCGAACCCGAACGAGGCTATGCCGAAGGGTAGTGTTTCGTCCGGGGAGGTAGACAGACTCGAACCCGTTTATGCGGAGTTAGAGGGAATTTTTGGCCGAGCCTACGGGCTTGGTTTATCCCACATTAAATTCGGCCTTGTGCCACATCCTACCTCGTGGGGAGGCTGGTAAATATTTCTAGCTGGGATCTGTTGAGTACAAACGCAGACTTAAGAAGAGAACTACCGACCTTCCAATAGTAACAATCACTACTGGATTGACTTGCGACGACCTTGTGCATAACTGTTACTTTTATTGTTACTGGTTGTTACAATAAACCTTTATTTTATCCACCGTGTTTTTCACGTATATATTCCTATTAGCGCGGAACATAACACAGACATATAAGCGGAATAGATACAAAGAAGAGTTTTGCCGCACACAGAAAGCAAAATCTTTCAACACTAAAAAAAAAGTGCCTACACCCTCACTCCACAAGAAGCTGCACTACAAACATTCACCCACAAATCCTGGTTTTGCAACTTTCAAAGTTGACTTTGAGTCTTGCAGAAAATATATACCATTTTCCATAAACAAAAATCCAGTTCGTTTTCAGCTTGATACTGCTTTGGATATAACGTTAATCTCACGTTCCTCTTGGATATTAATCGGTAACCTTTCATGGCAAACATTAACCTTGTAGCTAAGAGTGCTTCAGGCAACATCATTCAGCAAGTGGGTGAGTTAATTAGTGAGGTGTCTTTCAGCAACAAACAGTTTTCCAGAATGCTGTCCTGAATTGAACTTACTCGCACTTGATTGGATTAAAGAGATTGACACATTACAGCTTGCTTCTGTTTCCAAAATTGAAAAACAATTCACAAACACACTTAAAATAAAGTTCAGCAATGTTTTTCATGGTGGCCTTGGACGTTATACCAAGAATAAAACTACTCTCAAACTAAAGCCAGATGCAATACCAGTTTTCAGACCCAAGCGTACCATGCGCAGTTCTTGAGAACTGTAGAGAAAAAAAATAGACTGGCCTCAGCAAACCGTGTAGGATATTTTATAAGGTAAAAAAAAAAACTCTACGATAAAAGGGCATCGTAGTACAAACAAATGTTTGTGATAACGTTAATGTATAAGGCCAAAAGAACACGACAAAGACAGACGACACGAACCGCGTTTAAAAAAGAAAAATACGTTAAATTTATTGAACCTGCAAAATGGAAGAATTACACAAATTAAGTGCTTTATGTGCCAAATAATGGCCAATAACATGTATGTACAAATAAAAGTATATAGTGTAAAAAATATGCCTTTTTTACAATAAAGGATATACCTTTTTTTATAATAAAGAATATACTGCAAACAAAATATGCTGTTTTTACAATAAAATAAAAAGTCAAACGACATTAAACGACATCAAACGACATTAAAACAAATATAAGAAAGGGAAAGGAATTATTTCTCTGAATGCTTTTCAAGTTAAAGGTACAATGCCCGTAGCGACCTTTCTTGGTAACAGTGAAGAAACGGATTTCACAACAGTCGATGAATTTTTCTTAGATGAGGGAGCTACATTGGTTTTTTTTTCAAATTTTCTCCTGGCAGCGTCAAATTGCTTGTGTCATTGCTTCTTCACCAGAGTGACCTGGATTCAATCAGCGGCTTATGTCGACGCCTGGACCGTAGTGACCTGGCTTCTTCTTGTAGCTGATAATGTCGTCTCCTCGGTTCAATTAAGTTTTGGCTTATATATATATAAAGATAGCCTCGGTGTTTGGAGAGGCACCGAAATAAAATCACACGCCGCTATTTTTCCACAAATTGGAAGGAGGCAATTTTTTTTAATTTTTTTTTTTGAAAGTCAATAGTTTAAGCTAGAGCCTAAAACAGTGCCTGTTTTCTTTCAGAAAAGCAGATGTTACATGCTCAAGCAGCTTAAATTTCTTATATCAGAAGTAATTAATCCTGTAAATAACTCCCATACTGTCATAGAAAAAGCTAATGGCAAAATATGCATATGTGCTGATTATCCCACTGGGATGAATAATGCATAATTATTCATTACCCCTGCCGAAAAACCTATTCACAAAGCTCAAACTCGATCTGGCTGACCTAAAAATGGAAGTAGAGTTACTTATGATCAACACACATTGAGGATCGTTTCAATTTAACTGCCTTTTGTTAGGCGTTAAGACAGCGCCAGCAATATTCCAACAAACGATGGATCCTATGCTGATCAGGTTAACAGGAGTTGCTGCTTAAATCGAGGACATCATCGTCACAGCGTCCACTCAAGACGAACTCCTACAACGATTGTATTGTGTACTCGATCGAATTCAGCAATATAGATTCTGACTACATGCTGACAAATGCGATTTCTTTCAAACATCCATTAAATATGGATTTATTTTTAACAAAAGTGGTCGTAGATCAAACCCAGAAAATAATTATGTTATGCAGCACCGACGAATATAACAATCCTATCCTTTTTTTTCCCTGGGTCTGGTAAGCCATTACAGCATATTTTGCCAGAAATGCACCGGGTG